GCTGAGCACAGCAAGGCTCCTGCTCCCCCGCCGTGGCTGAAAGCCCCAGCTCCCCCAAAGCCGCCCCCGGCTCCCCCCAAGCTGCCCCCGGCTCCGTCCAGCTCGGCCCCTGGAATGCAGCGGGGCCGCACGCCCGGAGAAGGAGCAGCGGCGGGCGCCTATGCCAGGTGGATGCGCTGGTGCCTGATGAGGGCTGAGGTCTCGCCGAAACTCTTGCCACAGTCGCTGCACCTGTAGGACTTTTCCCTGGTGTGGGTGCGGAGGTGGACGCTGAGGGACGAGGTCTGCCTGAAGCTTTTCCCGCAGTGGGGGCACTGGTAGGGCTTCTCCCCAGTGTGGATGCGCTGGTGGCGGACGAGGTCCGAGCCTTGCTTGAAGCTCTTGCCGCAGTGGGGGCAGTGGTAGGGGGTCTCCCGAGTGTGGGTGCGCTGGTGGGGGATGAGGGACGAGCTCTGCTTGAAGCTCTTGTCGCAGTGGGGGCACTGGTAGGGGGTCTCCCGAGTGTGGGTGCGCTGGTGGGGGATGAGGGACGAGCTCTGCTTGAAGCTCTTGTCGCAGTGGGGGCACTGGTAGGGGGTCTCCCGAGTGTGGGTGCGCTGGTGGGGGATGAGGGACGAGCTCTGCTTGAAGCTCTTGTCGCAGTGGGGGCACTGGTAGGGCTTCTCCCCGGTGTGGGTGCGCTGGTGGGTGATGAGACACGAGCTCTGCTTGAAGCTCTTGTCGCAGTGGGGGCACTGGTAGGGGGTCTCCCGAGTGTGGGTGCGCTGGTGGGTGATGAGGGACGAGCTCTGCTTGAAGCTCTTCCCGCAGTGGGGGCACTGGTAGGGGGTCTCGCCGGTGTGGATGCGCTGGTGGCGGATCAGGGCCGAGCTCTCGAAGAAGCTTTTCCCGCAGTGGGGGCACTGGTAGGGCTTCTCCCCGGTGTGGGTGCGCTGGTGCTTGAGGAAGGCCGAGCTGTAGCTGAAGCTCTTGCCGCAGTCGCTGCACTTGTAGGGCCGCTCCCCCAGGTGGGTCCGCTGATGCGTGTTGAGGTTGGAGCTGCTCTTGAAGCTCTTCCCGCACTGGGGGCACTTGTAGGGCCGCTCGCCGGTGTGGATGCGCTGGTGGATGACGAGGTCCGAGCTCCGTCTGA